TTGGAAGCAGAAAAAAGGGATGGGAAAGGGGGATGAGAGAGGGGGGGTCCAGGGTGGGCCCCTGAGCTCCCAACCTGCTGTGGGGTGCTGGGAGGTGGGGGGCAGCTCCTGACCTGTGTCCCTTGATGCCTCAGAGCTTTTGGGGTTTTTTTTAGCTTTTGTAGATTTTAGAAGCAGCTGTGTAGTGAATGTAGATTTTAATGTAGCTGTATTATATCCCTTACCCTTAACACAGTACTTACACATCCCCAACTCTCTTACCCCATTCTGTATCAATCCCTCTGAATTCCCTCAGCGTGTTTAGTCTTCTTGTCAAGGTAGAATTGGAGAAAAACAACCTAAGGCCTGGACCAGAAGATATCACACAGACACAGCGACCTTCGAGCCCAGAACTCTGGAGGAACTCCAAGAACTGTGTGTGCTGCAAAAAGGGGTCCCAAAGACCCCAACCCCAATTCCCGAAGGGGCGTGTCAGGGGGCAGAACTGGGGGTGGACAAATCTGGGATTGGATGGACCTTATTATAAAATCATAGAACCACTGTCTAGAGTCGTGTGTCAGGTGTATTCCCTGGGCCTCAGGCCCGAGATTAAAGGACTGTGCTGGTTTAAAGGTAAACCAGCAGGGGAAATGAACCCAACTCAAGAGAGATTATAAATCAGAATAACAATTTAATAAAAATAATACAATGAATACAATTACACAGACAAACAATTGGTTTTAGCCCACAAAACCCCAGATGTATAACCCGGCACGAACAGGATGTTGTTCGTTGGCTCCTGTGCTGAGCCCCATGTGGTTCTCCAAGTCCAAAAGTAAAAGGAGAGAAGAAAAACTGTGGCGTATTGAGGCACGGACTCAGGGGGGTGTAGCTGAGACAAGTTCATTGGAGTAGCAGCCCTCCTTTTATAACCCAACACCAATAGATAATCATACCTAATAAGGTAAAATCTGTGACCGCAGCATTTGATTGGCTGCTACCTGTCATGGCAGTTGAAACAGCAATGGCAGTTGAAACAGGAGTTGAAATGGCATTTTTAGGAGTTGCAGCTCACCCCTGTAATGAGCCACTCCTGCAAAGGTACAGTTCTCTGCAAAGGTACGGTTTTTTCTAGGCCGTATTTCCCACAAAAAAACTGTTGGTGCAAATGATGGTGGTAGTCTGGTTGAGAGTGGTGGTCTCAAGTCTGGTTGAGAGTGGTGGTCTCAAGTCTGGTTGAGAGTGGTGGTCTCAGTCTGGTTGAGAGTGGTGGTCTCAGTCTGGTTGAGTGGTGGTCACAGTCCGGTCAAGGTTCTGGTCCTTCTCTGGATCCCAAGAGTGGTACCAGAAGTCCCAAGACCCCAAGATTATATATCCTCAGGTTCAGGCAGGAATGCCCAGTACCTCCCTGAGATCAGGGAGTTCCACAATGGGTGTGAGGACAGGAGCATCCTCCTATCTGACAGGCCTCTTAATACCTGAGGGGTCAGGTGTGCTCTGGGCAGCTGCTGCAAATGGTCTATTGTTAACAGTTCCTGGGAAATGGTATAGAGGACGTAGAATACACAGTTTTGGGTTACACCCACATAGTAATGAGCTGGTCCCAGCTGTTCTAACTAGGACAAGGACCTACTCTCTTTATCTTATCTCCTACACTAAATTGGCCTGGAGTCTTTTTCTCCACGGTCTTTTAGACAACAGTTTGGTGTCTGAAAGGTGGAAATTGAAATCCAGTACCCTGGAACACCTGGGACTCTGGATTGGGAAATTTCATCCTGCAGGAAATTCTTCTTCTGCCGGCACATTTTGGAGAATTCCCGCAGTGATCTTGAGAAGCCCCAGCTTCTAACAATCAAGGGTGAGATAAAAGAGCAGGTCCTTTGGGTAATTTTGCTAGCAATTATAAAGTGGGGTTTTCTCCAGAAATTGGGAATACCGTGGGGCTGGGAAGTGAGACTTGGGCCCCTGTTGTTGCAAAAGTCAGTGTTTTCCCAGTCTGTGGGTGAAAAGTGTTTCACCTGGATGGGCAATTTGACTGGCCTGGGATGCTTAAGGGGGTGCAGGTGGAGGACCCCCCCTGGCACAGCTTCGGTGAAGGCAAGGCAGGGACAGTAGACAGTGGACCGTAGTGCTGTGGTTACTCAGGGGGCTTGGTACAGCCGGAAGGAAAGGGACACCTTTCTACTTTAAAATACCCTACCTTGGCCTGAAGTCACTTTTGGTGTGTGGAAAGTAAAGCCCGTTTGGTAATCCAGAGCGCCACGGGTTTGAACCCCATGCTGGAAGTTTTAGCTGCAGGTTTTTTCTGGCTTTTCTAAATCCTCCGGAATGGAGGATATCGATGGTAGCCCGAAGAGGGCTCTGGAGAAGAGTCCGTTCCAGCTGATAGCCACCGATGTCTACCACATCTCGACCGTGCTGGGTCGGGACCTGATGCAGCTCAGCCCCGGGCCCGATTTCGCCGCTGCCCGCACCTGCCCGTCCTGGAGATGCTGGAGGCACTTGTGAGCGAGAGCGGCGTGGCCGAGGAGCAGCTGCGGCGGGAGCGGGAGCACCCCCGCTCGGCCCTTGGCCCCCCGCCCCGGCCTCTCCGCTGCTGTCAGCGCTGACCCCGCTGCCCCGGCCGTTCAGCAGCTGGGGGCGAGATGCCCGTGGCAGACAGGGAGGAAGCTGCCCCCGCCAGAGCTGCTGCCACTCCTATTTCAAAAGGGAGGAGACTCCGAATGCTGCCGCTGCCCCCTCGCGCCAGGTCTCTCCGCCTCGGTAGGCAAAACGCCTTCTACAAGCGAAGCCGCCGCTCGTGCTGCGGCAAGCGGAGATGGAGCGACGGCTGTTGCTAGCGGCGCTGTCACAAGCGGCACCGCCGCCGACCCTCCGGGGGAAGTCACCGCTTTTGCAGTGAGCGGCGAAACGGTCGCTTTGGTTACCGAGGGCGGCTCGATCGCCCCCACTCTCCCCCGACACCCTCGGTTTTCTCCCATAGACTTGGGAAGCCCAGTTTCGGACGCCCGAAGCCGCCGCCTGGGTCGGCCGGCTCTGTCTCGGGGAGGGAAAAGGGTCCTGCTCCGGGCACCCCCCGCCTCCCGAATTGGCGCGGCCCTGCCCGCTCGAGCTCCTGGCTCGCGGTCGTTGCTATAGCAACAGAGCCCTGGAGTAGTCGAAAACTGGGCAAGATACTTTTTACACCAGCGAAAAGGAAAGGTCAGAAGGGAAGGTTGCCCGAGACTTGGTCTGGCCCCGTCCCTGTGGTGAACTGCAGGGGGGTTCCCAATGGAGCCCGGCAGGAATGGACGCGGTACCGAAGGCTGAAGGAGCTGCACTGTCCCACGGACCGGGCGGCCACCGCCGTGGGCCCTCCCCTGCCCGCTGGACTGGCTGACACGGAAAGGGGGGGGAAGAAGAGCTACCTATATTGGCCCCTGGGTGCTCTGGGCCTGTTTCAGGCTCACAGCCTGTGAATATTCCTGCCCTCTGTGCCCTGATTGAGCTCGGGGGGGCTGTGGCAAACTCAAAACGGGAACACTGTTTTGCTCTCAGTGTGAACTAACAATGTGTCAAGTTGACTGTTTACAGAAAGTCCATTTCAGCAGACAGACTTGGAAACTGTGCCACCAGAACTGGGACTGAAAGTGATATGGATGGAAACAGCTTTTATGCAGAAGTGAACAAAGGCCTGAACAACTGCAAGTGAGACACACCAAGACAAGAGGTTTTGGACTGTAATAAGAATTCCTGAAATGGGTCAGGAGTAAGTAAACAAGAAAGACCAATAAGGAAAGGCTTCTGACATGGCTAAGAACTGTTGTAAGATGAGCCTATGATCTCCAAAGGTGGTGCATATACAAGAATCAGACTGCAATTTGAATAATACTGTCAGAACACCAGACAGTGCCATGACCATTGTATTTGTTTTTGTTGTCATCTGTTCTATGTTTCTTTTAGGCTTCTCTGTTATTTTAATTACAGAAGAATTGAAAGCTTATATTGCTTTTGCTACACTGATTGCTTTAAAGTTTGCAATGTTCATATTTGTATATGTTCTGTCCCAGCAGTTTAACAGCAGTTTGTAAACGCTGTTTGGAATATCTGTGTCTCTGGCTACTGCGGCCTGTGAAAAGGATTCCTCCTGAAGGGATGGTTTGGTAGGAAAATCCACATAGGATTTCATGGGATTGTGAGATCAAATTTATGTACCTTATGCCTCTAAAATGTTTTCTTATCCAGTGTCATTTAGGAGTCTGTGAATGCTGAGTTTCACAAAAGAAAAGTCCTGCGTTAGGACAGAAAGGGGGATGAGAAGGCGGCTGCAGCACTGCAACAGCACTGGTTCTGTGGACTCTCCCATGAGACCCTGAGACCTGACTTGCATCTTGCCTGCAGTCTTTGAGACAAAGTGGTAACATCGTTGTTGGGATGATTTGTTTAGATCACTTAAATGGTTTGCTTAGATTGCTTCCTAGCTTTATTCTAATACAGCTGTTTTGTTGGTGTTCACATATCCATGAGTGCACCTGACCCAATACATGAGGATGCTTTTACCCATGGAGGCAAGAGGTACCTGCACTATCACTCCATGAGGTAAAGATGATCGACTGCAGTCTGGGGCAGACTGTGGCAGGATGGCCTGTCCCCCCAGTAAGGCTTGGAATCTGTCCAGAGAGTGCAAGCTCTCTGTGGTGAGCTACTGGGACTGCCAGGGTGCTGTTTGGTGTTGCATTCAGACACAGCCTGCTGCTGGTAAGCTCCTAACTGGCCTATAGATCTGTGACTGGCAGTTAATCACTTTATGTGATAAAAGCTTGAGTTCCTCTCACACAGTCAAGACGCAGGAATTCCAAGATTTGGGGTTCCTGTGAGATTGTCATCAGACAGAGAGTCACACTTCATCAACTCACAAAGCACAAATAGACAGGGTTTGTCAAGAAACATCTATGATGTGGGTTCAGGCCTTGTCTATGGCCGTATAAAAGATCCACATACAATCCAAGGCAGAAAACAACATGCTCCCTATTTACATAAGGGAAGGTTAATCAGCAAAATTGTTTAACGGTTTAGGCTCTACTTTGCAGGAACTGCAGAGATTCATTGTGTCATCTTGGCCTATGGGACTGGACACTCCTGTTCATCTGTTCCAGCCCAGAGAGAGAAGGGGAAGGGGAAGGAGATCCCCTCAAATCCATCCCCGGCAGGACAACAGCGAGGTTGTCCTGCAGCCAGGGGCGATACTCAGCTGGAAGATGCAGGACAACAGAGGAGGAAAGGGGCACTGACTTCCTCCTCACCTGTCTGGGTGTCCTGGGGCATCTTCCTCTTCCTCACAGCCTCCTCCTCCATCCAGCCAAGGTTTGGGAATCAGAAATCCTGTTTTGGTGGGAAAAACAGGGTGTGAGCCCGTTGGGTTGGGGGTTCCTCCTGCCCAAGTCCATCTCTAGAAGTCACCAGGCATCCTGTGCCCATAAAACCCTCCTAAATACCAAGTTTCAGCCCCCAAAAAACGTCAGAACTCCAAGATTCAGACCAGAAAATGCTCCCCAGAGTTCCCCCTCTCTGGCTTCTCCACTTTGGGGTTCTGGGGGTCCCCCCTGTTCGGGTTGCTGGGGGTCCCGTGTGTATTGGGGGTCCCCCCTTTCCAGGGTCCCCCCCCTCTCTGGGCTGCTGGGGATCCCTATCTGGTCTTCCCACTTTGGTGTTCTGAGGGATGACGGCCTTCTCTGGGCTGCTGGGGGTCCTGGATTTGCTCCCCCTCCAGGATCCCCCTGCTTAGGGATGCTTTCAGGGGTCCCAGGGGTCCCTTCTCCCCTGACTCTCTGCTTTGCGGTGCTGGGGATCCCAGGGTTCCTGCCTCTCTGGGGTCTCCCACTCTCCAGGCTGATGGGCGTGCAGGGAATTCCAGAGGTCCCCCATTTCTGGGCTCCCACTTCATTGTCCCAGAGCTGTCCCCACCTCCAGGTTGCCAGTGGTCCCCCTTCTGTGAGCTCCCCTTTCTCTGGGTCCCCTTATCCAGGCTGCCAGGGTCCCAGGACTCCTCCATCTCCAGGCTCCTCACTTCGGGGTCCTGGGGGTCCCAAGGATACCCCCACTCCAGGCCCCCATTTCAGGGTTCCTGAACTCCCGAGCCTCCCCCCTCTGCAGGTTCCCCCAGTTCCCGTATCGCCCCTCTCCACTCTCCCCACTCCAGGGATCTCGGCAGCCCCTACCAGGTGTTCTTCCTCCTCTTCCTGCTTCCCTTGGCCTGGGACCTCCCTGCCCAGCCATTCCCGGTTTTCCAGACCCCTCTTTCTTTGACTCCAGGATCCCCCCCGCCCCCCTTTCTTGACCATCTCGCCTCTCCCAGTCCCTGGATCCCCCTGTTTCCTTGACCGCAGGGACACCCAAGCCCCCAGCCCTGGCCATTCCATGTCACCTCACCCCTAGTTTCCCCTTTCCTTGACCCTGGGACATCCCAAAGCCCCTTCCCGGCTCTCACAGCTCTCCCAGTTTCCCTCTGTCCTTGACCCTGACACCCCCTCAACCTCCATTCCTGACTCTCCCAGTCCCCAACTCCTCCCTTCCTCAACACCCTCTGAACCTCCTTCCCGCACATCCTGGGTCTCCCCACCCAGTGAACCATCTTTCCCTGACACTGGAGGCCCCTGGACTCCACTTTCCTGGGCACAGGGACACCCTGGACCCCACATCTGTCCTATTCCCACCCCTAGTCCTGCCTTTTCTTGACCTTGGGACCCACCTGATCCCCCATTCCCAGGCACTGGGACCCACCTGCACCCCCTTCCCCAGCTCCAACCCCACTTCATCCTCTTATCCTGCCCTAATACCTCCCTGTACTCCCTTTCCTGCCCATCCCACCTCTCCCAGCTCCCAGGCTCCCCCTTTCCTTGACCCTGGGACCCCCTGGACTTGCATTCCTGCTTTTCCCAGAGCCCCCTTCCTTCACACCATGGACTCCCTGAATCTTTCTCAGCCATCCCAGGTCTCCCCATCCTGTGAACCACCTTTCCCTGACACTGCAGACTACTGGACCATCCTTTCCTGGACAGGAGGACCCTCCAGATGCCCTGTTTCCCCTGGACTCCCCATTGCACTTCTCCAAGTCCCTGCATCCCCCTTCACCCTTGGATCGTCTGGAAACTCCCTTCCCCAGCACCATGTCCTCTCTGCATTCCCAAGACTCAGCCCAAACCACCAAGATTCATCCTAAAAAAACCCTCCCAGGGTTCCCCTCTCTCTGGGGTTCTGAAGGTCCCCCATGTCCAGGCTGTTGGGGGTCCTGTGTGTACTGGGGGTCCCCCCTCTCTGGGCTGCCAGGGGTCCTGGGAATCCCAGGGGTCCCCCATCTCTGGTCTCCCCACTTTGGAGTCCTGGGGTCCCCCCTCTCTGTAGCCCCCCGTTTAAGGATGCCGGGGGTTTTGGGAGTCCCAGGGGTCCCTTCTCCCCTGACTCTCTGCTTCGGGGTGCCGGGTTCGCAGAGGTTCCCCCTCTCCTGTGCTCCCCCTTCTCCAGGCTGCCGGGGGTCCGAGGAATCCTGGGTTGCCCCCTCTTTGGGCTCCCTACTTCAGTATCCCAGGGGTCTCCCCTCTCCTGTGTCCCCCCCCTCTCCAGGCTGAAGGGGTCTCGGGGGTCCCTTGTGAACGGGCTCTCCGTTTCAGGGTCCCAGGGGTGCCCCCTCTCCGCCATTGGGCTTCATTGCCATTGGGCTGGCAATGAAGAGCCTGACCCAGGAAAAACAACCCCCACCCATCATCGCGGCTCTGCCGGGAACCGCCACCGAGACCCCCAAAAAAACACCTCCCGGGAACCCCCAATATCCCCCCAAGGGGCATTTGCGGCTCAGCTTTAGAGTCCTCCAAACTCCAGACATCCCCTCCCCCCAAAAACACAACAAACACAGAGACTGTCCAAGATATTGGGGATGAGCTCCCTCCCCGCTCACCCGAGCGATGCGGGGCGGGGGGGGGGCGATGCTCCCGGGGGAGCTGCGGCCTCCCGGCCTCTCCTTCCGCCCTCGCTCACGCTGCTCCTCCCGCTGCTGCTGCGCCCCCGTCTCGCCCCTGCCTCCCCCTTCTCTTTTTCTCTCCGCTCCTGCGGCTCCGGCTCCTCCCAGACCCCACCTCCCTCTCCTCCTCCCTCCCTCCCTTCTCCCGCTCCCGCCCATCCGCGGCCTGCGCGGCTCCTGCAGGCCTCGCCGGACCGGCCGCCAACTGGGGGAGCCCCGGGCCGGGCTCCGACCCCGCCACCGACAGGTAACGCAGGGAGGGGGCGCTGGGGGGACACGGGGACTGGGGGGACACGGGGGCTTGGGGGGGCTGGGAGTGGTCCCAGAGTCAAGGCGGGGGAGGCCGGGGGTGAGGAGAGGTGGGATGGTCGGGAAAGGAGGTGTAGGGGGGTATTGGTGCAGGATAAGGAGGTGCAGGGGGGACACGGTGCTGGGGAAGGGGGTTTCGAAGAAAAGAGGATGCGTGGGCTTGGAGACGTGGGATGGGGCGGTCCAGGGGGACCTTGTGCCCAGAAAAGGGGGATCCGGGGGTCCCTGGTGTCAGAGAAAGGGGGTCACGAGGTGGGGAGACACGGGATGGCTGTGAAGGGTCTCAGGGGGTCCCTGATGTGAAGCAGAGGGGGTCTCGGAAAGGGAGGAATGGGGATCAAGTGGAGTCCAAGAGTTAAGGAAAAAGGGAGTCTGGGAGCAGGGAGAGGTGGGATAGGCAGGAAAGGAGGTGCAGGTAGGTATTGGTGCAGGATAAGGCAGTATGATTCCAGAGGGGTTCTGGAGCAGGGGAAGGGAGTGCAGGAAGGTCCCAGTGCCTGGGAATGGGGGATCAGGTGGGTCCCAAGGTCAAGAAAAGGCAGGACTAACAGTGGGGAGAGGAGGGATAGGGGGACCAGAGGATCCCTGTGCCCAGGAAAGTGGGGTCCAGGGGCCTTCAGTGTCAGGGAAAGATGGTTCATTGGATGGGCAGACCCAGGATGTGTGGGAAGGGGGTTCAGGGGGTCCTGAGTGTTGAGGAAAGGAGGAGTTGGGGGCTGAGAGAGTCAGGAATGGGGGTCCGGGGTGTGCCAGGGTCAAAGAAAAGAGAGGGTCTGGGGGCTTGGAGAGGTGGAATGGCTGGGAAAAGGGGTTCAAGGGGGGCTTAGTGCTGGGTAAGGGAGTGCAGGGGGGTCCTGATGCCCAGGAGTGGGGGTCCAGGGGTCCCAAGATAAAGGAAAAGGGATTGTGGAGTCTGGGAGAAGCAGGATGGCCAGGAAAGGGGGAGCAGGAGTGTCCTGGAGCCAGGGAAGTGGGTGCAGGGGATCCCAGTCTCAGATAAGGGAGTTCGTGGGGGGTCTCGGTGCACAGGAATGGGGGTTCAGGGTTCAGGACCCCCCTGCAGGAAGCGCCGGGAGTGGGGAACTGGGGAGACATGGAGATCTGGGGATCTGGGAGGTCCCAGGGTCAAGAAAAGAGGGGAACTGGGAGAGCTGGAAAGGGGCTTCAGGGGGTCCTGGAGTCAAGGAAAGGGGGGGCTGAGGGTGAGGTGACCTGGGATGGCTGGGAATGAGGGATCATGGTCCCCGGGCTCAAGGAAAAAGGGGGATTCAGGGACTGGGAGAGGCGGGAAGGCCAGGAAAGGGGGGCAGGGGGATCCTGGAGTCAAAGAAAGAGGGGTCTGGGGGCTGGAAAACCGGGAATGGCCAGGGGGTCCCAGTGCCTGAGAAAATGGGGTGCAGGGGGACCCTGACAATAATAGGGAAGAGAAGGAGGAAACAATGGGATGAGGTTCCAAAGTGCAGATTTCCAGTGGCGGGAAGGCGGGCAGAGGGCACGGAAGTGACCCCAGGGAAAGGGATCCCAGAGCGGATCTGCTGGTCAGGGCCAGAGTGGGAACTGGGAACAAGGATTTTGGCAATGCAGAGCAGTGGGAGGGGTTGTGCTTCTCCTCCTCCCCATCTTGCGCTTCCCAGAGCCCTGTCACTCCCAGTACGAGCCCAGTCACCTCCAGTATAAGCCTGCTAGTACATCCCACTTGCACACACTATGGTCCCAGTTTCCCCCAGCATAGTGCCAGTCCCTCCCAGTATGAGTCCAGTATGATCCCAGTCCCCCCCAACAGGGTTCCAGTTACTCCCAGTTGCCCCCAGTGTAAACATAGTCACTCCCAATGTTGTCCCAGTCACCACCAGTATGATTCCTGGTTACTGGTTACTGACACTCCCAGTGTGGCCCCAGTTGCTCTCAGTATGATCCCAGTTGCCCCAACTGTGGTCTTAGCACTCCATGCATCATTCCAGTATCTGCCAGTTGATCCCAGTTGCTCCCAGTGTGTCCCCAGTTGGCTCCCAGCATGATCCCAGTAGCTCCTAGTAACCCCCACTAAGGTCTTATTCACACCCACTATAATCCCAGTCACTCCCAGTATGATTCCAGTTGCCCCAATATGATCCCAGTTGCTCTCTGTCAATGCCAATATGATCCCAGTCACCTCCTGTATGATCCTAGTCACTGCCCACCACTCCCCGTATGA